GGGTTTAATATTTTTCCTAGAACTTTTTTTTTTTTTTTTTTTTTTTTTTTTTTTTGGGAAAAAAAAAAAAAAAAAAAAAAAAAAAAAAAAAAAAAAAAGTCAGCTAGCACAGAGTGTGCAAGAAGCGTCAGAAACAGACTCAGGAAGCCACCCACTCCCCACCACAAGGCCTTCGCTGCATGCATTCATGCCACAGACCACAGCCTCCTTCCCACACGCTGTCCTCAGGCCTGTACAGCCCAAGCCACAGCTACAGACCCACGTGAAATACGTGTAAAACATCTTCATTTGCTAAAAGTAGCTGTGCTGTGGCTGTTTCTACGTGTGCGTGCTGCAGCACGTATGTCTAGTTATAAAAATCAATATACAGAGATACAACATTACGCACACACTTTTAGAGCTCTCACACTTAAGTGAGAAGGTACCTAGGGATGTTCAGCTAATGAGGTTGCATCACTGATTATATACCATTTTCCATATAGCTCTCTTATTTAAGTGGACACTTGCAGTAGAGCAGCTGCCAGGGGTATGAATCCCAAGGAACACACAGCACCCCATCACCACTGGCAGCCCCCAACACACCCCCCGTGGAGCAGCAGGCAGCCCTTAAATCTCACCCCACAGCAGGGCCTCCAGTCCCATGCTGTGGCCCAGACTCAGCCCACCCACCACCTTCTTCCCCTCCTGAAGAGGGGATGCCTCCAGCCCTGGGGCCCAGAGTCGAGCAGCTGTCTTCAAAATAGAGGTAGGAGAGCAAAATTGTGTTGGCAGCCCTGCCTCACCAGTTTTTCTCACCTCTTTTCCCACTCAGTTCCCTGCTCGGAGAGCCAAGAGCCACGTAACCTCACAGCCCTTCTACATGGCAGGAAAAGTTATTTGGCCTGTTTGCAAAGTCTCCATCACTAGAAATACGGATTGCACATTGCTTCTGTACAGATAAATAGCTTCAGCTAAAGGAATTAAAAAATGCATCCGAAGGGATGCACCAGAGGCACGTTTGAACTATATAAGCTTCCAACAAGCCCCTTTGAATAGGTTGATTTTCCTGAGTGAGGCGTTGAATAAAAGAAGGTAAGTTGAGGTCGCTGACTGCAGTTTACATGGGAGTCCCTGCAACTGAGCAATGAAGAAAACAACCTCCTTCAAACTCCAGATTCAGTACTTTGGAGTCCAGCACTTCTACTCAACCAGGCTTATGTACAACTTTCACAAAACTTCTCCAAAGTAGCTTTAATGCAGTAAACAAGGGCATAAGGAATAGCAATCTCATTTTGCCCACAAGGGATCTTGGCTGAACACATACTTGGACAGATAACTTGAAAATCGGTTTTCACCGAAAAAGACATTTTCATCTAGAAGTTTTGGACTAGCCATCTATATATCTTTATAGGTTCTAGAAATATGTATTTCAGTATCTAATCAAATTTGTCTTTACCCTGTTCACACAGGGAAATTCTGAGTTCTACCAAAAGAACTTTTGGTCTTTCCTGTGAAAATAGGCAGATGGCATTGACTTGGCAAAGAACAAGAAATGGGCACTATAGGTTTCTGATCAGCTCCTTGAACAAAAACCCAGCTCTGGCTACACTGTTGTCAAAGACAGGGAAAGGTCATCCTGACTTGTAAAGGAATTTTTTTGGGGGAAAATTAACATTTTCTTATTACTGATGGGCACTTAGCTCACAGAATGCCTACAGTCTTGAGTACATGTCCTCCGTAACAGTATGTACCTCTATAACAATTGTTGTCCTTAAGAGACAGAATGCACGGGTATTTCAGAGACTGGAGTTTCACTAAGTGTGTTCATGTCCCTAGTTACCATGGATATACACTCCTGCTCCATCCCTCAATATAAAAAGTCCGTCTGGTGTCTTATGACTTACAGTCCTGCCACAAGCACCTTGTCTTTATGACCTTTCAGCTGAAGAATTCATTTTCGCAGTAGTTACAGAGCAAACTATCTGGAAACAGCTTCTATGTTTGAAGCATAGAATAGCATAGAATACTGAACTTTGAAGAGTTAAAAATCTCTTCGATCTCAAGAGAAGTGCCTCTTTAAAATTCCTTCTACGTCTTCTAGTGCCTCGCAAAAATAAAACCATAATTCTCCTTACTCTCTTTTCAGCTATTCCTTATAGCTGCCAGGAGGTGGAAACATAGCTACACCAACCTACAAGAGAAGCATCACGTTGATGTGTAATTGTACAGCATGCTGCCTGCTGAAGAACAGTGCTAAAAATATCTGCAGTCTGAATTGGCTCAGTGGAGCCCAAAACATAGGATCATGCAATGCCCTTCCTGGATCCCCCCCACCTTTCCCTTCCCCCAGCTTGTGAGACATCTATACTGCTTCTTACTGCTTCTCAGCATCAACGATGCCCTTTAAGCAGCTGGTTCCGTCAGAAGTGACATACACATTTATTTCAACAAGCATTCAAAATCAGGCTGCCGTTGATGGAAAGGCCCACAAAGCAGCAGCAATTGCAGCCCTTCAGAGCTGATAAACAATCAGATACCTGGCAAAGCGATAAGGAGATAAATGATTGCTTATTTATATAGAAGATGACATTCAAAAACATTATACACATGCCCAAGTATGAAAAACATGGCAGAGGTCAGAAGCACTCATCAGACAAGCTTTAATAACCACAGAAACAGATACAGAGGTAACCATCTTTGTTTTGTCATTTGGTATCACATTTTAAGTCCTAAGAGAGAAACCCTTACACAAAAGGTAAATTTACATAAATACTTGGAAGAGGGACACAACACTGTTAAAAGACTATAAACAAAACAGCCTTCCAAAACTTCCCATGTTAGGATAAAATATTGTATCTGGTTGTGGTTTTTTGACTGTTGAACAGTGAGTTTGACACTGACTTCATTTCTGCTACCTGTGCATCCTGCCACTTAAGCTTATGCTGCTGAGAGTTGAATAAGGGCCACAAAACTTTCTCAGAGCAAATTGAAGAGCACAGGTGATAGACTAGAAATACATCAGAAGGCTTTTCAGACAAAAGAAGAACCCAGGAAATCCTTCTTTGCATAGAGAGCTGTAGCAGAAAGAGTAAACCTCCCTGCGCAGGAGGCAGGTCTCAGAAAGTATGACTGGAAAGAAACCATCTCTTCATTTCAAGGAAAACAACTCTAAGAAATCTGTTGCCTCAATGAAGGCAAAACCTGGAAGAACTGACATTAGATGTGACAGAATTTCAATTCTAGGACTAGAAAAGGCATGAAGAAATTCTTCTTCTCTACCTAGGAGGTAGATGGGGTTAACAGGTAAAGTGAATAATCCAAATGAACCAGTACCAGGAAGTCCAGAAAGAAGTCCCTTGAAAGCCTTGAAGTGTGCCATGAAACACAACATGAATCCCAGACATTCATCATGCACAATAAAACGGAGTTGTTCTTACAGCACCTCAGGAATATTATCTTGTTTTAAGGAACGCAGCTCAGACTTCATAAACAGTGTCTTCATGGTACCAGTGCTTCGGTGGAAAAAAAGACAAACACACACACACAAAAAAAATCTGCTGGTGTAACAGTCCAAATTAATAAAACACAAGCTCATTAAAAAAGTGACTAATGTAAGACCACATCTCAGAAATTATTTTGAGGAGTCATCTGGCCAAGAAGAGAGACCTTCATACATCCAAATCAGCTGCCTGAGCTCAGGCTCAGTGTTTAATTTGCAAGGTACCTTATGTCACATTAATGCACAACTACATATTCCCAAAAGGCCATACAGGAGGCACCTGAAGTCCATAAAACAATGGTTCTGTGCTCCTTCAGTGCTTTCTGTTTTGGCACGACCAGAAATTGGACACTGAGCCAGATGATTTCCGTGGATGTTGGCTGGAATATAGCTCAGTTGGACCTACTGCAAAATCACTCAAAACCAAAACCAGTGCAAGTTAGTTGCGATCATTTCACCTTCCTGCCTGGGGAGTTTTAGCCCGCTAACATCTATGGAATTATTACAATGGGAAAGAGAGAGTTATTAAATATATGGGTCATGCCAGAAATCCCCGTGAGACTTTTGATTTTATAAAATCAATCATAAACTCTGTCTTCAGAAAAGAGATAGATAGATAGATAGACAGACAGACAGACAATCTTCTTACCTTTGACATACACAATTATCCGTGATATCATGACCACAGTCCACATCTTCTCCAGCTCAGAATCCACCCTCAGAGCTTTGCTCTGTTCCAGATAACCCTCTGTCCTCTCTGGTATTGACAATGCTCACACCTAATATAATGATGATCAACATGCAAATAAGAGTCTGCAGAACTGCATCTTTCCTTACTCAAAACTTAGTGGCAAAAAGGTGACTGAAGGTGTAATTTTTATTATACTTTTAGAAAAAATATGTTGGAGAAAACTTTAAGGCAGCAAAAGAGGAATATAATCCCTATATCTTAATCAAGCTGGGAGAACAGCTTAGAAGAAATATGAGCTGTATTTTCAGCCTGTCCCTGATCAGAACTGACCTACAAAGCTCTAGTAGCTCACCACCACCACAACCACCAGATGAGAACCTCGGCTAGTTAGGCCAAATAGATATTCCCTTCTGCTGGAGGCTTGGAGCTGAAGTCACTTGGCACAATTAAGACCTGTATAAAAATGATTGCACAGGGGCACTGCCACTGTATGCTTTAGGTCTCCCAGTCTTGCCGCACAGTATTTTTTCTCTTCTAAGTCATGAAGCAAGAGAAAAACAATTCACTTCAATCAAGAGCAAAATAATTCACAGTGGTGGCTGCTGTATCTCAGCTCTCACTCCCTCTAAGCACCAATCCTGCCAGAGGTCTACATACATTACAATGAATTCAAGAGTTGGTAAGACTAGACTGTTTGCATACACAAAAGTGTCCATTTAAGAAAATACACAGATCTCCGTTTTAGGGAAAATAACATTTCTAGCTGTGAATGTACCTATGGCTATAAACCCAGAACAGACACTAGGAGAACTGGGGCAGATCTGTATCTAACCTGAGACTAATATATATTTTCCCACTTTTTCCACCCAATTCCTTTCAGCTCTGGTAACAGAGCTCAGAGTAGAAATCCCATGGGAAACTATTCCCATTAGCTCAGAGAGATCCACAGCCAATCTAAAACAAATCCCTAACATTTTTCACATATCAATCTTGCATTTAACATGCATAGATGAAGAAAAAGATGAGTATGAAACTTACTCCACATGTCACAGTGTGGCAGCAATCATTTTTAGTTTCACACCCTAGGAGGAGAGGATACACCATCATGAACACAGTTTTTATCAGCAGAAATTTCACTTCAGAGACAATCATGTCATCTCCCAACTGCCTCTGCAAGAAAGCTTCTGGACACACAGAGCTTACCTGTTACATTCACTCTAACAAAATGGCCCACAGCAGTTAGGACAACATTCTTTATTTAGGCCCTGCATTGACAGTGGCCACTGTCTGACTGATTGACTTGCTGAATTTTTAGAACCAGAGAGGACATGACTTTTGCCTAGGGGCCTGAGTTTTGTGAGAGGTGCAAGCTTTCCATGTCCTTTCCAAACCCAGTCTTATTTTGCTTCTTTGCCTTTTTATACCAGTGAGCCTCTATTTGTGATGACTGATTCTGTTGACACCTGATGAGGCAATTCAAATTCAGGGTCTCTCCTTCTTCCAGGCATTTTGTGGTAGATGGATAAATGATTTCCAGCATACTGTGTTCTGTGGTGGAAGAGAGCAGACATTAACTGAACTGACCTTTGTGCCAGGCCAATTCCCCCTCTCCTCACAAGACTCCTCCATTTGTTTCTACACTGTGAAATCAGGGGCTATCTTGTGCTCCAGGTGTGCACAGAACACTCAAGATAACAGGTACCACAATGAAACCAATATTTTTTCCCTCATGTGAGACGAAGAAAAATCTGTTTCCTATCACAGATCTTGCAAAGGTATTGTGCAAACAGAATATTCTCTATAGACTTTGCTGTTTTCATAAAAAGTGGAAATTGAGACAAGCATCCTTTATTCAAAAAAGAAAGCGAAAACATCAGGGGAGAGCGATATTGGGGGGGGGGGGGAGTTTGTTTTTTCCTCTTCAACTTGCAAGTTTTTGTTTTCATCAAACATTGAACTATTCCATGGAAAGATAATATAAAAATACTGATTGGCTTAAAGTACTGCATTTTTTGGGATCAGATTTCACCTCCTAGCTCCCTAGGCAAAATTCAGCATGGAGAAACCAAAAGGCTGAAAAACATCATGCAGATCACGGCTGGCTGGAAACTTATTGCAATAGATATTCTTTTTCCCCATACCCCAGGCAGCATCTCTCAGCCACAGCAAGTAACTTCTAAACAGGATTAAAAAAAAACCACCAACAGCACACTGTTCCTTGCCAGGGCTCCTCCTTACCTAACATTGCCATAGATGCTATTTGGAACACCAGAACGGGGCTGTTGCCTCCAGCCATAGTGAGGAACTCTACCATCAGAGTCATCTTCTTGATGAAAAAAAGAAAGAGAAGGGAAAAAAGTCATAGGCAGTTATCCATGAGTTCTTCTCATGGTACAGAGGAGACCTAGTATCCCTTAGCTTGGTACTGCAAGCCTGTCCTAGCACTTATAAAGCAGTCAAAAGTGCACAGACCTTCACCCGAAGCACCAAGCTTGTAAATGACAAAGTAAGCCTCTGCATTTAAATAAGACAGAGACATGAAAGCACATATCCCCTTTACAAACAAACAAAAAAACCCAGCAAACAACAAGACAACAGATGTCACAAACCAGAACACCCACACACTTACTGTCTGTAAACTTAAAGTCGCAAGCAACGGGCATATTAAGGCTCAGGGGGCATGAGCTAAAACAGCTGGAAGTTAGGACTTTGACCATGATCACATAATTATTGCTGCAGTCTGCAGCGAACTGCACAATTGTCAACAAATTCCTAAAAGCTAGCAAAATTCTTTTTAATTGTTTCTCCTCCTCAAGAGGGCACCTGCATCAAATTATTTGGCTCGCACAGGCGACAGCCTGGCTCCCAGCAAACTGTCTCAGGACATTAAAATGAATGTACAGAACAGGCTACTGGCATCTCTTTTTCAATTATGAAAAAAAAAAAAAATCAATTCTTTTTACTAATGTTACTGTACTTGTGCTCTGAGTAGGATAATTTTGATGTTGGCATCAGGAAAAAATAGAGAAATTCTAAAGAAAAAAAAAAAATGCTTACCACAACATCCTCCTGTTTCCAACTAGTGTTAAGAGGCAGAAGATCTTCTTTCCTTACCTCAGAATATAGATTTCTTTTTCCCTAAAAAAACAAAGCTGCCTTTTAGAAATGTCTCAAAGTGCCAGAATGCCAGACATTTAGAAATATCTCAAAGACCAGCAAGTGTAGCTTTTCACACTGCTGGGAAGGAGGAAAATCTTTGGTTTGCTTGGCCTCCATTTTTCAAGTGGGTAGGTGCCTTGAAAGATTCTGAGGCTCAATAAGTAACCAAAAATGAAAAGCTTTGGTTTTGTTTCCTTGGGGTTTGTTTTTCACCCCCCTCATCTACCACCTTAGACCAAGACATGGAAAAAAGCCATAGCAGAACTCGTTCCACATTGTCCAGTGCTTGTAACCTGTGTATTTGTGTGATTTAAATCAGTTCTTTTGCGTATGCTCTGATTTTCTTGTTGGTAGAGGGGAGACAACAAAGTGATGGGAGTCAAATAGACAACCAAGCATATATCTGCATTTTCTATACTGCAAAGAAGTTCCTGTGTGGGCTGCACTTGCATGAAGTTGAATGTCTTGTTGGTTTCTGTGTTATTTTAACTACAATATCTCTTCTTCACTTATTCTTTTCTTTCAGGTCTTTATTGCCTTTCTAAAAGGGCCCCCATACACTTTTCTGGCGTCAAGCTTTCAGTTATGGGTCAGCTACCCAGGACCAGGAGATTTTATTGGCTTTTACCAGTGAAGCCCAGCTTAGCTAACATTTCTTCTCTTAGATGACCCAGCAATTTTTGGACACTTAAAAGACTCAGAAGAGGTTTCATTTTCAGAGCACAGAGAAGAAGCATTAGTTCAGTTGCTCTTTTAATAGCTTTTGAGATGTGCAGAGCATAGTGGTTAACACAAGGGGAATAACTGGACCTGCTCAAGGGTAGGAAGGCTTTGCAGAGGGATCTGGACAGGCTGGATCAATGGGATGAGGTTCAATAAGGCTAAGTGCTGGGTCCTGCACTGGGGTCACACCAACCCCAGGCAATGCTACAGGCTGGGGGCAGAGTGGCTGGAGAGCTGCCCGGCAGAAAAGGACCTGGGGGTGTTGGTCGACTGTGGGCTGAACATGAGCCAGCAGTGTGCCCAGGTGGCCAAGAAGGCCAACAGCATCCTGGCCTGTATCAGGAACAGTGTGGTGAGTAGGGCCCGAGAGGTGATTGTCCCCCTGTACTCGGCACTGGTGAGGCCCCACCTCGAGTACTGTGTCCAGTTTTGGGCCCCTCACCACAAAAAAGACACTGAGGTCCTGGAGCGGGTCCAGAGAAGGGCAATGAAGCCGGTGAGGGGTCTGGAGAGTAAGTCTTATGAGGAGAGGCTGAGGGAGCTGGGGTTGTTCAGCCTGGAGAAAAAGGGGCTGAGGGGAGACCTTATCTCTCTCTGCAACTACCTGAAAGGAGGGTGTAGAGAGGAGGGGGTCGGTCTCTGCTCCCAAGTCACAGGTGATAGGACAAGAGGAAACGGCCTTAAGTTGTGCCAGGGGAGGTTCAGATTGGATGTTAGGAAAAGTTTTTACACTGAAAGGGTTATTAAGCATTGGAATGGGCTGCCCAGGGAAGTGATTGAGGCACCATCCCTGGGGGTATTTAAAAGACAGGTAGACATAGTGCTTAGAGATATGGTTTAGTGATGGCTTTAGTCAGATCATTGAACTTGATGATCTGAAAGGTCCCTTCCAACCTAGGCAACTCTATGATTCAAACAGAGCTTAAGAAAGAAAAAATCCTCTATTTCAACCATACATTAAAAAAACAAAACAAAACACCACACCAAACAAAAAAAAATCCAAACAAAAAAAACAAGTAGCAAAGTTTGACTTGAGTAAATCTCAATAGGTGCCCATTTGTTTTAAGACCCTCGGATGTCTCAGTGTTAGTAAATCCATCAGATTTGATACAATAGTTAACAAATTTTCATTACAAGATTACAAGGCAAGGATGTATCCGGGTTAGAAAAAACATAGATCACAAGATCAGACAATATATTCTCCAGTGTCCTCATGCATCCTGTGTACTTCCTGCTTTAGGAACTTACCCCTGCGTGGAAAAAAAAAAAAAAAAAATCCTTTCAGCTCTTGTATGTGTTTATATTATATCAAAAGATAAAACCAGTGATAGATTTTAGCTATTGAAATCCTGACATTTTCATCCTACTTTTTTTAACTAAAAAAAAAAAAAGCAACATGAAATAAATACATACACGCTAAAAAATGTGTTCTAAAGCTGCCTTGGACTATCACCTTCATGATAGTGAAAGAAAAAAATTCAAATAAGGTAAATTCCACAATTTGTCTTGGCTCTATGCAAATCATATTCAGATAGCAAGATAGAAAGTAAAGTTCATTTTCACCTAAATCATCTGTTACAAATGAAAAAAGTATAGTCATGAGGAAAAACATATACAGGAGATAACCAAGTCAGATTAAGCAGTTCACAGCAACTGATATTTAACTAGATAACACCATATTTTGTATTTGCAACAGAGTTTCCAAAAAACCATTTCAGAGGATGTATCAAGTTTTCCTAGAACCAAATCCTGACAGCTCCACCTCCAGCTTTCAGCCCTGTAAATGAGATGGTGGGAAAGCCTGGTCCTCGTCAGATCTGTGAAGAAGGATGTATCCTCTACGTGGTCTGGAACTGCTCTTTCACCACCTTCGACACAAGTGCACCAGGAACAGGCATGACACAGTTGTGCACCGGATGCTCTGGATTTCTAATAATCCTGCTTGTAATCTGTACTAGGTACTTGTCTTTGCCATGATGATATGGAAGGATTGCATTTTGGATACCTTAGTCTACGAGTCAGTGATGACCAAAAGGCACCCTTTTACCCTCCCGCTTTACCTCAGCTTAAGACCTAGTTTGCTTTTGTAGAATACCACTTTATCATTATACATCTTATACGTTGGCTTCTATAAATGACAAATGGACTGTCATTTTTACTTTCTTATGTCCAGAATAAACAAAAACCAAACATACCAAAACCAAAAAAAAAACCCAAAACATCAAAAGCTAACAGTTCTACGCTGAATTAAAACATTATGCTTTCCTCCATACTGATCATTATTTTTATTAATCATGCAGTGAAGCAACTTAGGACTAATTTGGAAGAGAACACAAAGAGCTTTCATACCTCAAGATATATGTATTCTGTAAGTGTAAAGATAATAGGTCCAGGTACCAATTAGTAAAAAGATGCACCTTCTTTTTTTCTTTTGAGTAATCAAGATAATAAAATTAGTAACCTCAATCAAACAACACAAAAGCAAGCCAACCTTGAAAAATCAACACCTCACTATTATCTAAGCTGATTAAATATGTAACTTCACAGTATTACAGTGAATCAACAGACTAACATAGTCAAGTGATCAAACCCTCAAACTAATATAACGGATTATCACCATTCACAAAGTTAACCCTAGGAGAATTTAAGACAATGACAACATCCTTCAGTTTCAATTCCCTTACTTAATATAAATGCCTACCTGATTTAAGTGTCCATTAGCTACTTTTTCCTTACACCTTACTGTCACTAATTACAGAGGGTTCTTATTCCTTCCTTATTTCTTCAAAAGGATACATTGGGCTTTAAAAGGTACGATTAGTTAAATCACATAGCAGCAGATTAAAATACAACCATTAACACAAGAGAATCTGGCTCAGGGACAAGTTGTGGCTTAAGTTTAGAAAATCATTAAAAGACTCTGTTGGGCATCTCTCATGTGCACAGACAAATGAAAAAAATCCAAGAGGCTGAACAGTACAAATTCCACCCCCCACCCCACAAAGGTGAAAGAAAATGCAAAAGACAGTAGAATAAACTACTTCTGCTTAACTGCCTGTGATCTTGTAATTGGCTACATGGACTCAAATTCTGTTGAACTTACTGCCACACACACACTTCATTCAGGTTTATGCTGTCTTCCACAGTGACATCAATCTTTAAATTCTTCCTCCTCTGGATGACCCATCCAAGGAAACAGCTCAATATAACTTCAGCTTTGTCAGTGGATAACGCAATTTTTCTTTTTTCCTTCTCTGGTCTTTGCATCTTAAGAAGGCATGTCCCACTTGCTCCAGCTCTGAACCCAGTTCAGCATTTCAGAATCTCTTATGTTTTTTAGGCCCGGATATAGCCATGACATTCAGGATGCTCTTCCAGACAGG